AGCTCCTCACAAGCTTTCCATGATCTACTTCCTGCTCACCTCTTCTGCATCCTCTCACACCGCCCTCGTTTCTGCCTACTGTGTCCCAGCCACAGCGACCTTGATGCACCCAAGCCCTCTTTGCATCTATTACCACCTCTATCAGGAAATTCTCCCCAGGGCTGTGCAGAGCTGGCTCATTCTTAACCTTGGGTTTCATCCTCAAAGTCCTCTTCCAAGGTCTTCCCTGGCCACTCTTTCCTAGGCACCCTTGTCTTACTGCTCTGCTTATTTCCTTCTTAGCATAACCCATCTATCTTGTCTAAATCTATCTTGTTGACTAAATTGCTTACTTGCTTATATCTGCCTCCCTACCAGACTATGAGCTCCATGAGGGCAGGGAAGGCTCTTTCATCTTCACTACTGAACAAACCCACAGCCTCAGGTAGGCCGCTTTCCTCAGCACAGGTGCACAGCTGAATGCTCCCTAGGCCTGATGTCGAGGGCCCAGCTCCTGCTAGATGGTGCAGTGCTGGCATCTCACCAACTCACTGACGCTGGGATCTAAGGCAGTGTGCTGGATATATCTGATGGGGAAGAATTTTAAAGCACTTTGGCTTACTTTTTAAATCACCACCTTCACCTTTCAAGAGAGAATTCTTGCAGCAAGAATGAAAGAAGCACCTACCACTACCGTTGACTCCCACTGGCTTCCAGTGGAGTAGTGAACCGGACCCAGTAAGTCCTTGCATATTTCTCGGAGCCGGTATTCAAACCCTAATTACAGAAAAAACAAAAGAACAAAAACAAAACAAAACAAAACAGAAATAGGAACACATTACAAAAAGAAATAAAAAATCAAGAATATGCTAAGTTGTTGTGTATATCAAAACAATGAACAAATGCTTATTTTGTTGCCTACGATGGGCAAAATGCCTCTTGCATCTCTCTCAGTTTGGGGCACTGAGACCCATAATGACAGATTCTCACTCATTCACCCATTTCCTTGACAATGTATGCAGCAGTCCCTCTGTGTACTGGGCCCACAGGAAAAATAAGACATGGCCAGCTGTGGGATGAACTCCCCAAGGAGATGGGAAAAAACATGGGAAATTGTAGGAGGGGAGAGGGCTAGTCAGATTTGTTTAAGAGAAGACGTCTTGGCAGCCAGTGTGAGAGGAGGTCAGCAGGGTCAGGAGGCAGCCTTCAGGAGGTAAGAGATGGCAAGGGTATGAGTTTAGACTGAGTAGGTGGTGTGACTGAGCAGAGGAGACAGGAGAAGCAGGCGAGGGCCTGTCAACTCAAGGGTTATGGGCACAGCCAGGTGGAGTGCCAGAAATGCTGAAGGCAGGTCTGGGGGGGTCTGTCAGCACTGGGGGCAGCTGAAGCCATAGGGAACAAATGAAATCACCCAAAGATGAGGGTAGAGAATAAGAGGATGAAGCTGGAATCTGAGGAATTTCAGAAATGAGTGGGGTCTCCCTTTAAAACTTGAGTTCTCCTTTTACGGTTGAGGAAGCAAG